TTCACTTTGTTACAGCATGAATCGGCCATTTTCCGATTACACATGTGTAAATTTAGATAATTTACTATTACTTATTATTTTCTTGGTCCGACAATTTTTTGAAGATTTTTTCCAAACCGGGCATTCCCCCGATATTTTTGATCACAAATTCGCTCCCTGCCTGGTCTTTGGAGTCACCATTATTTATTTATCAATTGAAATTTGTATCACTTTAATCATGCTGGTTTTGTTACGGTACATACATACAAACTCCATATAAGTTTTTCTTTATATATATAAAGAAAGAACTTTATCAACTTTATTATCGATATGGAAATTTTAAATATGGTATAAATAAAAAATTAAATTTAGAATTCACTATTTTTATTGTGATTATTGTGATTATTGTTTACTTTTTCCAAATCTTCGTTTTTTATTATTATTTAGTGTTTTTTTTTTTATATACATCATGTTTTTAATTGACTTGTGCGAGCTTTGAGATTTTCAAAATTTTATCTATTTCAAGAAAAAATTAAATTTATTTATGCGAAGGGTACTATGAGGAGAGAGCTGTTTGTCTGTCTGTAATATAATATAAAAAATTTATATATTTACTTTCTTTAAAGAAAAAAATTTTTTTTTCCTCGGATTAAATTTTTTTAAATTTGAAATAATTTTTATATTATATTATATATAACCATATAACCAATCAATTAATAATAATATTTTTATATTCTATTAATAAACTATATTACCCTTCCTTTTTACCTATCCATTAATACCTTTTTTATAACCTTCCTCCTTATATTTGTTAAATAAATATAAATATACATCACACGCACACGCACACACAAATATATCTATAATATTTTCATAAAATGTCAGTACTTACACCCCCTTCAACTTCAACTGATTCTTCAAGACCTGGTTCTTTTGTGATGCCAGTGGAACCCCCTACTATACTTGATCAATCTCACCTCAGACCTGGTCATAAAGCCTCCTTACTTTCTCATACTCAAACTTTAGAACTATATCGTCAAAATGCTAAAAAAACAAATGATCCTGAACTCCAGTTTGAATTTGCTGCTTTTATGATAGAAGCTTCAAGAGCTATGAACGAAGACCCTAAAAAAAGAGAAGAGTTATGCAAAGAAGGAATGTCCATATTAAAAAAACTTTCGGATAGAGGTCACGCAAACTCTCAATATTACTTAGCTGATTGTTATGCAAGCGCGATTGGTACATCAAAAAATAAACCTGACCTTGACAAAGCTTTCCCCTTGTTTGTTCAAGCTTCTAAACATGGTCATCCTGAAGCTGCTTATCGGGCTGGTGTATGCTATGAATATGGTTGGGGTTGTCGTAAAGATAGTGGTAAAGCTCTACAATTTTTAAGGTAAGTCAATTGATGATTTTGATAAATCATTTACATTATAATGTTAATTTAATATTAAATTAATACATAAATATCTATTGATATATTTATATATCTAGGAAATCAGCAACAGCAAGTCATCCTGGTGCTATGTATCGTTTAGGTATTGCTGAGTTAAAGGGTGAACTTGGCTTATCAAAAAATCCTAGAGATGGTGTAAAGTGGCTCAAAAGATCAGTTGAATCAGCAAATGAAGAATTTCCACATGCTTTACACGAATTGTCTGAGCTTCATGAGAAAGGTGTTGAAAACATTGTATTTGTAGATTTGGAATATTCTGTTCGATTGTTAATACAGGCTGCAGATTTAGGCTATGCACCATCTGCGTTTAAATTAGGTGAATGTTACGAGTACGGAAAGATGGGTTGTCCGCAAGATGCCGCTCTCTCAATTCACTACTACACGGTTGCTGCTCAACAAGATCACCCTGAGGCTTGTTTTGCATTAACAGCTTGGTATCTTGTTGGAAGTCCTGGAGTGTTACCGCAAAGTGACACAGAAGCATATTTATGGGCTAAACGTGCAGCTGAAAAAGAATTGGCAAAAGCTGAATATGCTATAGGGTATTTCACTGAGGTCGGTATTGGGATTCAAAAGGATCAATTAGAATCTAATGTTTGGTATCGTCGTGCTGCTGAACATGGCGATAAAAGAGCTCAACAAAGATTAAGGGGTGTACCAATTGATGATAGTAAAAAGAAAAAAGATGATTGTGTGATTTCTTAACCATCTTTTTTTTTTTGCAATCTCTATGATTATATATATATATATATATATATACACACACTTACATACATACATACACATATATATGATTTAATATATATATATATTTAACTAATTCATATATAATAAATATGTGTGTCCAGGAAAGTGGCAGGAGTTGTAAATATCTTTTGGAATTCTTTTTTCTTATAAATATATATACACACACACATATGCATAACCTTTCTTTTCTTTTTCCTTTTTTTTTAACTTATCCTTAATTTAATTCTTTTATTCTTTTTCATTTTAACTTTGGAATTGTGATTCAAACAAACATTTTCACATATTTTCACACATTGACCGAACAAAAATATAATAAATAAATAAAAATGTGATAATAATAATAAATAACAATAATAAAAACAATAAAAAATACAAGTATTTTTTTTCTTCGATAAATATATAAGAGATTTCGAGATGATGATGATAAATTATTATAGTGCATCCTATGTATATACTAGATATATCATTAGTACTGGATCTTTTAATTGCTTGCTTTAAATAAAGAGAAAAGTCGTTAATTATTCATTTATAAATTTAAAAAAAAAATAATAATATTTAAATTTGCAATGGTTCAATATATCAATATTACCCCTACAAAAGATGATAAAACACTCCAGTCAATAAATAGTGCAGATCATCTATACTCAAATATCATATCTCATTCGCCTTTCTTTTTTTTTTTTTTATTTAAAAAGGGGAATAAATTAAAAATCAACAATTAAAAAGGTGTCATTTTATATTAACTTATTTGAGATAAAAAAATCTAGCCGAAAGCTCTAATAAAAATCGGTAATCTTTACTGATGATCTGCACTGTCTATTTATGATCGCATTTTTTAAATTTAATGACCAACCAGAATGTTTAAAATGTGCATGATACATCTAAAATTTTTTATCATTTAGCCAACTACAGACAGACTTCCAATCGAATCTGATCATGTTTTATGATGTGCGTGCGTTTTTATTATTATTGTTATTTAATATGGGGCATGTTGCAACAAAACCAGACAGAGTGAACATTTATATTACCAAGAATTTCAGGGATCAAAATTTGTAATGTGATTATTAAAATCTCCCATTTGTTTGTTATCTTTGTTTTTTCCTTAATATCAAGTGATATATAATTACTCCTATATAAAAATAATTAATATGAAAATCATTTATATCAGATCTACTATGAAACCCAAGAATTATAGTACTATCAGAAGTACTTTAAAAAAAGAACAAGGCGAAAAAATTGCCCCTTACATTTTCAAAATAAATGATACTCAGACACTTGAAGCTTATCTAAGAAAAGAAAGGATTACCTATGAAATATACCAAGAGGAAAGAAAAATAATAAATGTTAGAAAAATAATAAATGTTGGAAAAAGAAAGCAGAATGAAGATGTGCTGTTATCCAACAAAAAATAGAAACCTTTAGAAGAAGGAAAATAAAATACAATGAATCTTATTATTATATATTTATCTATCTATTTTTTCTTTTTAGTCCTTTTAACAACATAAATCATAGCAATTATAAAACCTAAAAAGTTATATCTGCTATATATTCATAATCAAATAGATTTACTATTATTTGAAATATTATTGTTATATTCATCAGCAGCTTTGGCAAAATCTTCATCTTTTAAGTCAGAGACAATAGTTTTAACATGATAGATATTAGATTCAATAGTACTATGATTATGTTTGTAATCAGGAAGAATGTAAATCTTATTTTTATCAGTAATACTGTAGCTGCTTTTTTTATTATTGTTGGATTATCATCAATAAGATATTGAAAGCCAGGATATTTTCTTTAACTTCATCTAAAGGACAGTTGGAATGAATTTCATTTATATAGAGGAAAATATTTTCTCAATCTTCTTTAAATTACTTTCTTGCTTTCAATCAAGGTCATTTTTTGGGTTCTTTAACTTCAATTTGAGCAACTTGTTGCAAAGTTAACTAACTGTTCTAACTGAGTTTTTAATCTTTGAATTTCTTCTTTATAATTGCCATTTTCTTCTTCCAACACCTTAATCTTATCCAATAACTCTTGTTTTTGCTTTTTACTTCACTCTTCTGATTTCTCTTGGAATTTGGCTACTTCTTCTCTTTCCATATTTAATTCCTCTTTTAGTAGTTGATAACTCTTTTTCTAGTTCTCTAGTTTTATTTTCTAAACAAGAACTGAAAGCTTGTGAAAGTAGATCCTTATCAGAAAGTGGCTTAATTGATTTGGTTTTTAGACAACCACAAAAACATCTATTTTTAACCTACCACGTTTCTCACAGCATGAAAGGGTGTTATTATCATAATCTTTTTTACATTCAATACAAATAAAAACGATGTCAGAATGACCATCGGGAGTGTTATGAGCTGCCATTTGATGAGTAGCAGGAGCAGTATCAAAATTAAGGAGAATTGGATCATCATAATCTAGAAAACAAAAGTTACACTCTTGTTCATCTCCCTTTGCTATTTCCAAAACTCTATATTCTAACTTCATACTAATTACTTACTTTTCTGAATAATAAAAGTTTGGAACTTCTCTTTATTTTTTTCTTTTACTTTGCTTACTAATTTTTTGAGTTTACGTAATCTATTTTCTTTTTGTTGTTTTGGTAAAGCTGGTAGTTCTTCAGTTGCTAGATAATCCCTTCAGTTTATTTCCTGACTTTTTTCTTGTTGGCCATATTGCTGACAAAGATGTAATATAATCATGCGATAATTTTAACCTATAGGACAGGGAACTGATTGGGCAAAAACCCATTCAGTTCCTTACCCAAAATTTATAAATTGGTAAGTATCAAAGAAACAAATAATTTAGAAAAATAATTATACAAAACAAACACTATTTTACAACTTTCCTCTTAACATCAGAGCCCAAATGTAATTTCAGGGTCACCATAACCTCCTGTGCTTGAAACGAGTTGCAGGTTCTCTTAATATTCCCATCCTTACCCCAGAGGTATGATCATTGCAGGAAATTTGGCAGCCTGGGTTCTGTGAGAAAAGATTAGTGAAAAGCGTCATTGACAATGATGCAGTCTCGGTAAACTCCAGGACATGACCACCCTCTCCTGGAGTTTAACAGCATCATTATATCATCGGGGGGACACTAGTCAGATTAGCCTTGTGTACACAAGAATGACTGTAAGTGTTCAAGATAGCATGCGTGTTTCAACATCTGTAAATTTCTGATAATCAAACACCACATGTTCAAATTGTTTCTTTTTCAACGGTGTGCTGCCTTGACATCTTGTAATTAATTATATATTTAATATTAATGTTAATATTAATAATGATTACAAAAAGCCAAATACCAATCATTTGTTTACCATCATGATAAGAATCTTATAATTACCCAGCAAGATATGCTCTGTGTTTTGATTTCAATAATATACATTATATAAAATAAAAGACATATCAATGCAAATTAAAAGTTACCTCTGGTTAGTTATTAACATGTTTCTTATTTGAACCAATCATGTCAAACATCACTCGCTGTCAAAAAATAAATTGTTTTTCCAAAAAAAAAAATAGGGGGTCATACATAAATTTTAAAAATATTCAAGATGTCGAATTATAAAAAATTAAGAAAACAACAACAAAAAGAAAAAGGATAAGGGTTATCGCCACCACTTGTCACTCTAGTTATTATTAAAAGAATGGTGGCTTGTCATCATTCTAGTTTTTTAGAAAATGGTATTCATTTGCAACCTGCATTATTTCTTATATTTAGCAATCAACAAATTTCTAAATATTTCTCATCATTGCCACCACGAACTGATAATCGGTCAAGGGAGATAAAAAAGGTTTTATTTACATGATGTATTTAGATTAGAAAGCTTCAGGGAAAACCAGCTTGAAGCAATTAATGAGACACTAAATGGAAATGATATTCTTGTTCCGATGCCAACTGGTGGCGGGAAGAATATATGTTACCAATTACCTGCATTAATTAAAACTGGAAAAACAAAAGGATTAACGGTTATAATATCTCCACTGTTGTTGCTTATCCTAAATCAAATCTATAATTTAAAAAAGTGTGGCATAGAGGCATTAGGTATTATCATTCAGATTTAGGAAAGGCAGATAGAATAATTGTACAAAACGAGTGGCAATCTGGAAAGTTGCAGATTGTTGTTGCAACTGCTGCCTTTGACATGGGTGAATTATACATGATTTTTAAATTTTTATTAGTATGGTATATACTGCAACAATTATATTAATTTTTTTTAATACATTTTTATATGTAAAGGGATTGACAAACCTATGTACGGCTTGTGATTCATTATTTATTACCCTGGCCTCTAGAGGGATACTATCAAGAAACAGGAAGAGCAGGCAGAGATGCAAACCCTTCTGAATGTGTTCTCTTCTATTCATATAAAAATTACAAATCAATAGGATGGCATATAGTGAATGAAGATGGAATATGGAAACAGAAACAGCTTGATGATCTATTATTAATGAAGAATTTTTGTGAAAATGACATTGATTGCCACAGAAAACAATTATTAAGGCATTTTGGTGAAAATTTTAATCTCATAGAATGTGAAATGACTTGTAATAATTTCATAAATGGGTCTGATTCATTTCGTCACAAAAAAAAAAACTTCATTAAACAAATTTTTCCTCACACTTCCCACACACTCCACTTTCCTCACCTAATTTCTTAATTAACTTCCCACACTCCTCACATCTAACTCGTTCGGTCTCTGGCTCGAGGATGAAATAATTTTCGACGAAATGAACATTCGATGAAACAAACTTTCGACGAAATGGGTGTCGACGAAATGATTGTCGACGAAGTAAACGCAACCGAAAACGAATGTACACTGTGCTGTTTAAGTTCTGGAAAATGTAGAAATATGAACCTTTATATGCAGGATCTCCAGGACATATACCACAAGTCGATATAATTTTTTTGTACAATTATTATGTATGTTTTTGCGTAAATGATTTATTTGGCACAATGATTATCACGTAATGTACAGTCCCCGGCGAAAGTAATGGCGCGTAATTTTTTATGATTAAAAATGTACTTTATTATAAATTTAAAAAAATTTTTTTTCTTAAAGCCAAATAGTATGGCTATAATTTTTATTATGGTGTTATTACTTGGTATGAGCTCCTTCAGCATCGATGCACGCTTGAACCCATTTTTGCATGCTACTGATTCTATTAACTATGACGTTTTTTCGATTCTCTCCCATTCCTCCCTAATAATACCGATAAATTTATTTTCGAAACTTTTTTTTTTCTACTATCATTTTTTTGACGTGTTTCTCAACATTATGCTTCAAAATAGCCCATATATTCTCAATAGTATTGAGATCTGTGCTATATGAAGGTCAGGCGAGAACACGTCTTGGAAGGCGGGTATTCAGATCATTCATAACGTTCCTTAGGGTCGTTATCTTGCTGAAAGACTCATCAGCCACCTACTAATGCATCAGCATTATCGTAAAGTTGTTCATTTAAAATTTTGCGATATAGGTAGCGGTCAAGGTTTTCAGTAAAGATATGAATACCGACCTTCCCTTTAAAATTGTTAGCACCCCAAACATGAACCTTAAGGGGATGGTTTACCATAGGTTTGGACAGATTTCTTTTCATGAGACCATGCTAGCATCGTATTGCATTACAACTGGATAGTTGTTTCGTCTGAAAAAACAACTTTCTTCCAGTTGTAATGCACATGATCTTGTGCCCATGACAAGCGCTTAATCTTTGCTTGTTCTGTTAGAAGAGGAACTTTTCTGGGAAGAGTAGCAACAGAACCGAGGTGGAAAGCTCACGGCGAACAGTTCTCTCACTAACTTCGAGATTTTGGTATTTTTCAGCATCCGTTTCGATGGCGTCCTATAGTGGTTACTCTTGGCGATCATTCCGAGTTGCGCCGCTTTTCGGTGATAATTTTCGCGGACGACCTGACCGGTGAATTTCCGAAATTTTTTTTAATATTGTGACGTATTGTTGACATGTACGTAATGGGATCCTAGTTCTATTCGAAATTTCTTTCGAAGTACGAATATTTTGCTTTAATAGGGATCGAAGACATTTTGCAAGGTAAACAAAAATACTGACGACGATCATTATTTTTTTTATTTACTTTTATGGTTACTATCTATTTACGCGACTCAATGACAAATAAACATTATAAATGAACGTTATATGGTATTATGCCTGAATAAGTAATTCGAATATTCGCGCCATTACTTTCGCCGGGGACTGTATTTAATGATTCGTCAGATGTTCTTTTGTGGAGCATGAGATCCTTCTCTGGATGAAACAGCTTGAAATAATTTTTGAATAAAGTTATAATCCATTATTGGTATTTGATCTAGCACCTCTCTATCCAATTTGTCCAATAAATAAAGTTTAAAAGTTTTTGCTCCCTCAAAAGTAATAGTGTTAATACGAGTCAATGCATCTTCTAGGTAGGGTTTCTATTCATAATACAAATTATTATTCGAATTATTCGAATTATTCGTTTTATTTGTACTATTCGTTTATTCGTTTTGTTCGAATTATTTGTTTTATTTGTTTTATTTATTTGTTTATTCATTTTATTCTAATCATTCGTCGAATTGTTTTATTCGAATTATCGAATTATTCGTTATTTATTTTATTCAAATAAACTCAATGTAATTTGAATACCAAATTCATAACGAGAAACAAATAATTTGAATAAATCTTATTCGAATAATCAAGCAATATTAATATAGTTGTGTATAGTGATTTAGTTTAGTTTGAACATTATTGTCTAAATTCCATAATAAATAACACTCGCAATATTTATTTGCCGTAAATAATTATGGCATTACAGTTTTACGGTTTATGACTTTAACGACATTAGAGTTGTAATTCAGGTAAAATTTAGATACATATTTGTGGCCGAAAAAATTTCTTTTATACAATATAGTAAAAAACCACAAATAATTTTAAAGATGGAAACACTTTGGATGAAAATAAACATCATGACAATATTTCTACTGGCAAAAATAACGATGATGAATATTCAAAAAAAGAAAAGAAAAATATGGGGAATGTTCAATCTGCAATATATATAATACTTCTTATTCATGGTGTCAATCATGCAATCCAAAGCCATTAACTGAAGGATGGACTAGTGGCAATGAAACATTAGATGAGTCGATTAAAAGTACACAACTTAAAGTAACTAAGTATGGTAATGATTATTATCTTCAATGAATTCCTTATAATGGTTTAACAAATATTGAAAAGATTGGTGAAGTGGGTTTGCAACTATACAATAATAAAATTAAATCATTTTTTGATTTTCAACTAATTTTCAATTAATTTTGCTCATGATGTAATTAGATATGATGCAATTAATGAGAAACCATTACAAGGTGTAGTGATAATAGGCTACGAGGGGGATATTGAAGAAGTTTATAACCAATTAATGATCCGTTAATCAATAAGCTACTCTCAATAAGGAATCAAACTTATAAGTCACCAGTACTACAAAACAGTCTACTAAGAAAACTTCGTAACAAATTATCATTTGCCCATAATATGACACAATCAGAATTCATACCAACAAAACTATTATAATTATTAATCATATCAGATTTTGTAAGTTAACAAATTCGATTTTACAACAAAGTGGTGGTGAAATAGGAGGAGATAATGCACCAGTTGTTCAAACAAGATTTCAACAAACCATGATTCCATGTTCAATTTATTTGAGGATATTTTTTTTTCCAATAAACTTTGAACTGTTTCAATTAATTTTTTTTTATCAAAGTCATCATTGGATGAAAAATTAAAATCTTGACACAAAGATTTTATGGAGATATGCAGATTTAAATAAGACCAAAATTTCAAGTGGAGAAAATCCTTTATTGTTGTATTACGAAAATGTTAAACTTTATTAATATGAAAAAATAAAAATAATGATAAATTTTTTTTGCTATATATTTTTCTAATAATATTTATATTATATTGTTATTTATTTATTTGCTGTAATCTTGTAAATTTATATAAATAAGATTAATAGGATTATTAAGAATAAAATTAAATTCATTACTATAATAAAAAGAAAAGAAAATGACAAATTTTGAATTTTTTGTTACTTCAAATTCTTCTAATAAATGAACTTTTTTATTATTATTCATAAGATTCAAATTGTTTTCATAATAATTATGATGCTTATAATAACATCATGGTAAGAATGAATTATTTTATTGATGATTTTAATTATTATATTATCTATCTTCTGCCCATTCATTTTCTTTACGAATTTGTTCTTCTTCTTCTGGAGTAAAGTCATTCTCAATGTTGAATGTAGCTCTAATTTCTTCAGGTGATTTTCCTTTAATCATATTTGCAACGGTTTTACAACCAATGTCTCTATATAAAAAAAAGAAAAACAAAAATAATTAATTTCTGACTAATTGAAATAATAATAATATTTATTAAAGCTATACTTTACAATAATGGTTTAATATCTAAATAGTTTGCAGCCTAAAAAATTCAATGATTATTATTATAGCAACGACGAAATAATAATTAATAATAACATAACAATAACAATGATTTACCAGAATAATTTCAAAGAGCATGTCTTGATCCACATTTAAAAATCTTTGATCCCAATCATCAATCTCGGTATTTCTCTTACGACTATCATCATCTTCGTTAGTTGGCTGTGGATCATTTACATGATGCTCGCACCAATCAAGAACCTTAAAAATTAAAAAAATTAAAAAAGTATTATGGAATGAATGAATTAATAAAAATTTGAATGAAATACTTTTTGTTAATAATGTAATTATAAAAAACAATATATCATAAATTAATTTCAATTTACTTTTTTTAAGACCTTCTCCTTAACATTAGGAAGAGGAATTACTTGATCAGTCTCACCAACATCTATTATCATTAGTAGTTATATATGTGCGTATATGTTGGAATAAATTGAATAAATACCAAAGTAATTAAATAATACAATAAATAATAATAAATTAATAGATTAATTAATATAATATAATAAATATTTAAAGATTGATTGCAAATAAATGGATCTTCATAATCTTGTTATTCTCCCAGTAACAAGGTAAAAATAAATAAATAATTTCAATACCTTCAATCATATTTTTAAGTAATATAGAACGACTAGCAACTGATATATCAACTTTGAATTCAATGTCGTCATTACTTTTCAAAGTTACTTTTTTATTATCTGGTGCTTTAGGACTGGAAGAGCTCATTTTTTAAAGAGTATTATCGTGAATTTATTATTACTATTGTTAATTTTTTTTTTAAAAAATAAAGAACTAAAAAAATTTTAAATTAATATATACAATTTGTCAAAGATTACCAAAAAAAAATTATTCCTATTATGTGCACATGATCTCTAATTGTGTTTACCATTGGTCAATTATTATAACGCCTATCTAGACACCGCACAATTAAAATGAAACTGGTAAAGACAATTAGTAAAAATCATTAATCATCCCCGTGTAACCTCATTTATACCATTTTTCAGTTCGTACTTATACCCACTAGAAAAATTCAAACTCAGTTAAATTTTATGATAGTAATAGTCTATTTTTATTATTTATAAAATGCAAAACATTACAGGTAATACAAATATTAAAAATACAATTGTTTGAAGTAATGAGTAATAGTTATTTCTGAATATTAATATATAGTAATAGTTATTTCTGAATATTAATATATAGTAATATTATGACATTTAATAAATTTAAATTTATGTCCTTCGATTTCATTATAATTGTTTGATCTTTTAAATGGTAATGTAATATTGGAAAGATCATTGAATGCATGATGTGAATCAATACTTTTATTTGAATCAAAAGCATCACTAGAAATACTATGTAGAATCATCAACACTGGTATCACCGGAAATTGCTATTACTATTGATTTTGAATCATTATCCGAAATATCCGGAAGAATAAGTTTAGTTACAATGATCCTTTGATTTTCATTTTGTAATCTACAACAATTAAATCCAGTAATAGAACAATGTAAAGTTATGTTCGACCTAGGTTTCTATAATGAATATAAAAATATATATTAAATTAAAAAAATATCTCCCATTTTTAAATATTAAAATTACCATTGTTATTTTTGTAAATTTAGAATAGTAAGGCGATATGAAATATACAAATTTAAATAATTTTTGCCCAAAGTATTTGGGCAATTTCGGCTACTAATAGAAGCAGTTTCGGCCAGAAACCTTAATAGAGATGTCAGTATTAAATATGAGCTACAAATATTACCACATTAAAATTATTAAGACTATTTTTAAAACAATTAGATTGATGATGACACTAAAAGCAATATTGAAAATATCTGAAAATGAAAGATAATATAAAAAACCTATTAATTAAATACAATGTATATGTATCAAAAAATTATGATGAAAGAAACAGTATCATCAATCATGAGGCAACTATTATCTATTATATGTGAAAAACCATTTCAAAATTATTGTCATAAAATGATTTTGAACTGCTTTGGTATCAAGACATTTACAAGATCTTGTAAGTTCATGCTAGTAATTATATATTCTCTTATTATATTCCATAATTGACATTTCCTTATCAGCATTCAACATTCATCCAGACAAGAGGTTCCTTGTTTGATTCTAGTGCTGCAGAATTCTGTTATTGAGATGAAATCATAAACCCATTAATTGCAAAGGCATTCTATGATATTGAACATTTTGCATGGATAGAAACGTAATGTGAGATATATAGTAAAATAAGGACCAATAGAGAGGTCCCCATGTTGACGATCCAACCAAACCAAATTACTGCGTGAGTCACGTGATAACGACATCATTTCTATCAGACCCAGACACTTTACCAACACCCACTTTACTGGCAAGACACTTTACTGATAGGACACTTTACTGACAGGATACTTTACTGACCAACAAGTATTGTGTTAACAATTTGCCAAGGACTGTGTGAAGACCTGAATAACTAGCTAAAAATTTGGTTTTTTACAACAAGTTAATCAACTGTTAATTAACTAATAACACCACTTATTATCCTTACTTTGCATCAAAAACAAGTTCATAAAAATACAATATAGATACATGTGTAATATATTTTTTTTTTCATCTGACGAAATTGATAAAAATTGCATATTCATGTTATTTTTTTATTAAATTTATTTATCAATCATTTACAAAAAACTTTTATTATTATTTTTAAAAAAATAACAAAAAAAATTTTAAAATGAAATATTATGGGCAATGCCCCAAAGAAACTTTATAGTTGATCTAATGTTACAGTCATTTAATACTGTTTGAATCCGTATTTCATGATTATGATCTTGTGGTTTCTGTGAGGGTTGTGGTGTTCCTTGCAAGACCATTTCTATGTCAAGTTTGACTTTACTTGGATTGTTGGTAAAGTGTCCTGTCGGAAAAGTGTCTTGTCAGTAAAGTGTCTTGTCGGTAAAGTGGGTGTTGGTAAAGTGTCCTGTCAGTAAAGTGGGTGTTGGTAAAGTGTCCCAGACCCAAATTTCCTGATGTTGTACATGGCAACTGCACAAAAAATAATTCATGAATGATCTGTTAAACCTTTGAAGATTTTAATGATTTTAAAAAATGCATGCCAAAGTTTCCTTTAAATGCATCAAAGCATGTAAGAACCTAATAAAATCGTTTTAGTCTTTTTTTGAAAATGTAATTGCCATAAATGTTTCATATATAGTATAAAAATATTTTTATAAATATATTCAAAAAATTATAAAAATTTAATATGAACAAAAAGCTATTCCTAGCAGTTCACCAAACCATTAACACATTATACAACTCTTTGTAATAACAATTGAAAGAAAGAATTAGGCCTCTATTGAATTTATGCCTTCAGATTGATTGACTACTCTATTTATATGGAGAGTATTAAATAATTAAAAAATTACACAATAAGTGGCAAAAATAAATCATTCAGTGTTTGGATCCATTATCTGTTTTATTATTAAATTTAACCAGATGTCAAGATATCTGCTTATACTTTTTACTGGTAGACAGACACCTATGAAATTTAATAAGCAATGGATATTTGGATCCAAACTCCAAGTATGACAGCCACTTGTAAAAAGCAATGCCCAATTAAAACGGAATGTATATTACAAGAATGCTATAAGTCAGAGTTACACGAATAGTCATGTTTTTTCATAGTTTGAAAAAGTCAAACCAACAATACTATTTCAAATAGAATGAATGAACTTTGGTAAATATCAAAAAATTAGATTTTCAACAAATTGATCGACATTAAGATTTTCTTTATCAAAAATATATTATGAATTCAACACTTGTTCAAGTATTAACTCATTGTGGCCAACAACTTGAAAAATATCAAAGATGCGTCGAAAATCATCCAAATAATTGGAATTCGATTTGTGATCAGCAAAGGAAAGAATTGAATAAATGTTCGGAAGAAAGGTATTTATTTAATAATTAATAATTAATATTAATAATGAATGACTATTATTACAACTATTATCACTTGTCACCACAATTCGTTATCACGTCGTTTATCACCACAACTAATCCTCTGATATATAGTATACCGGAGCTTAAATCATTAAAACAAAAGTGCAATAAAATTATTATCGCGTATGAGAATTGCTTAATAAAAAATGAAACAACACCAGAAAACTGTATTAATGAATTGGAAGACCTGTATAATTGCACCGAATCAAATTCAAGTTCTTCAACTTCAACTAACACTAATACTTCTGCCACCACAACCATCACACCAGCAAACACTGAAATAAAATCATAAGATATTTGAATTTGAATTTTTTTGTAAAAAATAATGAAATTTAAATCTTTTCTAATAATAATAAATATCTCTAGATTTTCTTCATTATTAAATAAACTTCATATTCCTCAATTTCAAAATCAAGTTTATTCTTAATTAATTCATCCGGTAAAACTCCATAGGTGTAACATTCCATTAAACATCTGCACAAATTATTTTTGATTATTATATCAGTTGTACCAAACGATGGGCCATTAGAAATATGATTATTTATTGCATATTTTGCTAACGTTACTCTACTTATTATTGGCGATGTAATTTTATAATTATGACTATTGTTATTATCATTGTTGTGACGGTCACCTACTGCACCACCACCACCACTGTTATCATTATTATTAATGATTATTGATGGTAACGAGAATATGAAACTGTCGGGGCAATTTTCAAAATTTCTAAGCCGGTTAGATTTCCAATTCAATGGATTATATCCACCAATTAATCCATCAACACCTTTCAATTTGATAAATGTGACAGTCGGACCAACTTCATCACATCGTCTGTGAAACTTTTTATCGCTAAACCCATGACTAGTAGCTCGCATCAACAATTTAAATTTATAAGAGCATCGGTATAATTCGTAACCAATATTTTTTTCATGATTAATACCATTACTACTGCTACCATTATTACTATTATTATTAGTATTACTAGTATTGATACCATTACCATCATTATCACTCAAATCTCTATGATCTATCCAATCAGAAACTAAAGTTAAATGTTTATAATCAATTATTATAGATCTTGGATATTTATATTTGTGTTCTGTTTTTGTTGTTATTTTTGATGATGAAGACAATAGTTCTTGATGAACTCTGATTTCTATTTTTGAATTTGAGTGATTGTATATTTGATTTTGTGCTGACATCAATGAGGAGGTAGGTGGAGGTGAGATTGATCTGTTAAGAGATAATGGTAAAGGAGACTGCGGATTCTTAGTTGAAGTTGGTGAATTGGGTTTAGTAAATAATGAAGAAGGAAATGGTAGTGGAGATGTCGGAGATGTCGGAGATGTCGGAGATTGCGGAGATGGCGGAGATGGCGAATTTGGCTTACTAGTATCAATAGAAAAGAATGGCGGTAATTGTGGTGGATTAGGTCTACTACTACTATCATTAAAAGATAATTGCTGTGATTGTGGTGAATAAGGTATACTACTACTATTAGTTTCAAATAATGTATGTTGTTGTAGTGGTGATGGTGTCGTTGGTGTTAGTGGCGTTGGAGATGAAGATGGCGTTGGCGTTTGAGGAGAGTTGGGTTTACTACTATTATCATTATTATTAATTGGTAATTCTGGCAAAAGAGAATTGGTTTCTTTATTATTAGTAACGAATGGTGGAGAGGAGGGAGAATTAGGTTTACTACTATTACTATTATTATTATTCGAAAAAGACGGTTGAAGGTTATGATAATTAGGTATATTATTATTATTATTATTATTATTATTATTATTATTATTATTATTAGAAAAGTTTTGTTGGTTTGGAGAGGTTTGTTGATCTGGAGGTTTGTGTTTTGGTATTGATTGAAGAGGTGGGAGTATTATTGGAGGTGAGAGAGGTGGCGAAGACGGTGATAATGGATGTGATTGATCAAGAGTATTTGAAGTTGATATTAACTTCATGTTATGGAAATTTACTGTGGAAGAAACAGAAATTGGCGGCGAAATTGATATAGCGGATTGATATATTCTTGCTTTTGAAGATTTTAATTTTACATTATCACTTTTTGTAAATCTTTGTATAGAATTATTGAATAATGTGGTAAAAGTCTTGGCATTATTTTGATTGTTATTTTGATTATTACTTTGATTATTATTTTGATTATTATTTTGATTAGTTCTAATAATAGGAAGTGATTTATTTGAAGATGATGACGCTGACGATGAATTGAAAAATATTGAAATTTTATCATCATTATCATTATCGTAATAATAATCATTAATGTCAATTTCAAGTGAATTTTGAGATTTTTTATTTTTTGAGATTGGTAATGGAGGATTATGTTTATCTTGAATATTTTGTTGTTGTTGTTGTTGTTGATTAATATCAATTGAATCGTGACTTTGTCGATGTAATTGTTGCAATGAAATTGGAGGAGGCATTGGAAAGTGTTCTAAAGGAAAGGGAGATCGCAAGGGAGGAGAAGTAGATGAAGAATTCGTATGATTATTTTGATTATTCTGGTTATTATTATTATCTATATTTGTGTTAACAATATCATCAGCATCAGTATTTTCGTAAGTATCTATATTGATAATTGTTTTTCCAGATTTTTCAAATATCAACGACAATAAATTTGGTGAAATTTCTAATGAACTACTATTAGAAGAAGATGGTTTGATATTTGTGCCATTTGTTGTAATAGAGAGAGATTTTTTGTTACGTTTTGATAAACTTAATTTTGAATGATGTAATAATTTACTTCTATTCAAAGAAAGATCATCTTCGTAGCTGTTGATGGAAGAAACGTCCTTTAAAATATGATAATAATAGTTTTCGATATCATTATAAATCTCCAATCTAAAAGTATAATTAAAAAATAATTGTTAAAATTAACATGTATAAAATGAAATATTTTTTAAAATTTTCAAATACTTACTGAAATAAGAATTTGTAAGGCATGACATTATTCTGAAAATCTTCATATCTTATTTTGTTAAATTTAATTAATGGAATCAAATTCTCTAATCTTTTTTTTAATGCCAAGAAATCATCTTTTGACAAATCCAATTTAAGTTTATCATTAACGTTATTACTAATTACACCAACAGCATCATGATTAATATTATTATTTTGATGAATTCCCCATTCTAATAATTTTTTCCATAATTTAAGTTGATCAATCACCAAATTATCATCATTCAACAATAACAAAATTAATCGTTCATCCAGCGTGACAAATTTAGGCGAATCAAAGATTAATTGTGGACTATTATATAATTCCTGATATGAATAATTTTGTAGTTTCTTGAATGTTGTTGGATTTGAATGAATTAGTTGATAAATTATAGTGAAATTATTTTTGATCCAATCTTTTCTATGCTCTATCAAATAAATTTGTAAATGTTCTATCAGATAATTAAGCCATAATGCATCTGCTGCCAGTAAATAATCAATTACTTCTAATGTTCCTGTATTCTTACTAATAGTCAATACTCCTGTATATATGTATCTATATATATATATATATTTTTTTTTTGAAATAATTGAATGAAAATAGTAATTAACAAAAAAAAAAAATAAAAAAAAAAAAAATATATATATACACACACTTACTTTAACATGGCTTCAAAAGCATTTGGTGAAACATTTGTTTGATACCATTCAATATATTTAGTATTTAAATCATTACTACTACTATTACCATTATTATTGGTGATAGATTTACTGTTACTATTACTATTAATATTATTATCACGTAAACTAACAAGGTGACTACTTGATAATACTGATCTATAATATAATGACCTTGCACTCAAAATGTTTGAGTGAGCTTTAAAAGTCTTACGTTCAAACATGTCTCTTCCAACATGTATCACTATATTATGATTATTACTTGATTCAAGTAACCATTCCATGTCACGTGCAAAAATATTTGGTGAAGGTGGTTCGTCATTGGAGGAGTTGTTGATGGTGGTAGTAACATTGTTATTATTAATCGGAGGAATTAATTGATTAAGATGTGTTTTCGTAATGTTGGCTTCCATATTTTTTTTTTTAGAAAATTTGAAAACAACATTGCATGATATATATATATATATACCAATTGATTTGTATACCAATACTAATACTAAACTATGTTTATTATTTCCGATCAGATTATAATGAGCCATATAAATTGTTTTAAAGCCAAACCAAAAAAAGGTAAGGAGTTGCATTGTACTAAATTTTTCTTGGGAAAATTCACATTATTCGTCTCCTCGTGGGTTTGATCATCATAAAGAAGAAATTGGGTTATTTATGACGGATTTCAAATACCACAATAAGGATTCCGATTTTTGATTCGTTTGTTTTCATAATAAAAATGAATGCAAAAAAGAATTTGAGTAAGAATTTGGAACATAACAATAATCACATTCGTGTAACTGTAAAAAAAGTTATTTGAATTTATTTGCACCCCTTCTAATTTATTAACTATGGACTCAAATCTCATTAATTTCATTAATACATTTATTTTATCATAACACACTCACGCAAGCAGACTGAAACAATTGCATTTCTCTTTTACAGACACGTTATTCTCAAACTTGCTTTTTGAATCAATCTGAGCAACAATAAATGATGATATCGGAAAAAATTCTGGTAAACAACTCACATTTAAGCCAACTAATTGGCCATTTACATAATTTTAAATCACATAATTTCATTTGCTACATTCAATGGATTATTATTATTCCTAAACGGTTAATCGGCTATTGATAGCCGATAAAATTTTTCTGATATAAAAAATTTTTTCTGAGGGCATTACTTTCTAATACGAAATGATCTTTGAGATTTAGCCGATTAACCTATAAAATAAAAATCCAATTGTTGTCCTTGTGGTTTTTGTAAAATCTTCTTTAAAAGTTGGTCGATTGACTGTTTTTACTTTGCTGATCGTTAAA